CAAAAGATTCATCTCGTGATTTCCAATTAAACTGTGTAATTAGTTATTTTTTTTACCTACATTTAATACTCCATGCAAGCAGCTAAAAATTGATGTGATAGAGAGAGAGTGAAAAAACTTGAAATTTGGATGGTATCTAAACAAGGCCATGATCGATCAGCTGGGTGTGATTATTACCTTAAACAAATCCACTGACATTTCTTGGCTCGATCCATCGGCTTCTCGTTTCCATGCGTGCGTGCGCAAGGCCCTGGCCCACCAATCAACCCTGCACGTAATGCCGTACGATACACACACCGTATTCTATGCTAACTTGGGCCCTTTTAGTTTCACTTCGTTTTGCTAAATTTTTCAATATTTCTTGTCACATCAAATCTTTAGACGCATGTATGAAGCATTAAATATAAATAAAAAATAAAACTAATTACACAGTTTAGACGAAATCCACGAGACGAATCTTTTAAGCCTAATTAAACTATGATTGAACATTAATTTTTAAATAACAACGAAAATACTACAGTGCTCATTTTGTAAAAAAATTTACATCTAAACTGAGCCTTGTTTTGTTGTACTTGCAAGCATGAGCATTATATTGCTAGTAGTTTTTAACCTAGAGTAGGAGTATTTCATTAGCACGAATGTACTATGTGTCGTTTAGTCTAAGCGAGGCAGCCGGCCGGCCGGTCAAATGGAGCCCTACGACCGACGCGCATTCACCCACGCGGCTCGGTAGTCGGTACCCGTTTCTATCGTTGTGACCCATATGCAATGCGATGCACTCTCGTACTACTACCCTGGCCGTTAAAGCGGCCAATGCATGCTGTCAGAGTGTGGCGTGGGGCCATGACCACGCCAGCAGCAGACTGGCTGGCCCGCAGGGCAGTGTCCTGCAGAGGGGAGACGAGGTCCAAGTGTCCAAGACATGAAATATAGACAAGTACATCACCGGCAGATTGCTATTGGTTACGTGCAGCTACCAATAAATGGAGCTCGAACAGGACCGGGAAGGCGAAGCGTCGTCTTGTTTGCATAATTGGAGCCGCAGGTGAGCACAAGCACTCGTAAATGTGTATGAGTATATATATATATATATATATATATATATATATATATATATATATATATATATATATATATATATATATATATATAGAACTACTGTTCTGCAACTGGCCATAGAATAACTTATTTTGTGGCCACTTTGAGTTACGATAATTACTATGCTAATTTACGAGATTACAGTAACTTTTTACTAAGTGATTTACTATAATGTTATGGTAAATATCCTCATGTGTTATAGTAACACAACTATCGTAAATATGTATTCACTTTATGGTAAATTAGTATATAAAATTATTGTAAATGGTGGTGGCTACAGAATAACTTATTCTATAGCCAGCTGCAGAATAGTCTTACCCTATATATATATATATATATATATATATATATATATATATATATATATATATATATATATATATATATACACACCAGGTAGCTGACTACAAAAATAACTTATTCTGTAGCCACTTTGAGTTACGATAATTACTATGTTAATTTATGAGATTGTAGTAACTTCTTACTAAGTGGTTTACTATAACGTTATGGTAAATATCTCCATGTGTTATAGTAACCCAACTATCGTAAATATGTATTGACATTATCGTAAATTAGTATATAAAATTATCGTAAATAGAGGTGGCTACAGAATAACTTATTTTGTAGCAGACTAATATATATATACACTCCCAGGAGTTGTTAGTCCCATAATCAATAAATCACGTTACGTATGTGTACGTACTCATTTATTAGTTTGAGTATGTTGACGTACTAATATTAAGATACTCTAGATCTTTACTATGTGAAAAAAAAATTCAAGAGCACATGTTTTCTAATATATTATATAATACTATGATAGTAGCATATAAAATAAGTATAACCATATACTCTAAGTATATATACATACTTGTCATACATAGTACCCTAGATAGTCTAGTACGATGATATACTCCATCTACATACGCTTCGTCGGGCCATATACGCCCTAAATCTAGAGATATATACATGGGAGTAACTACTCACTAGGAGTAGGAAATAAATTATATATATATATATATATATAGTGTGTTTTCTTATATATAATTCCAAGGTTGGGTGTTTTCCTGTTTGCTGCTTCTACATTTTGATTTCCTATTTGTGTGCCGAGTACTCTTTTGTGGTATTTGTGTGGAGAGGTAACATTCTAACCTCTGCAACAAGCCGATACAAATAATATAGTTCAGAAACAACATGGAAATGAGCTGAGTTAAATTCCCACTGGAATCTTATGAAAATTATCGAATTCCTTGCTGTGCCAAAGTAAACACATGGCCATACATTCTTTGGTCTAAAGTTTGTCAGGCATCCCTTTTTCCTACTGAAGCTCTCAATAAGGAATCCACCAGTCATATCAACACAAGTTAACAGTCAGTCAATTCAACCTGATGCACCGTAAATGAGGTCAAAAACAAAATGGAGAGTAGCACGGTATATTACTGCGGCACACTTTGCGGTCAACGATAATATTGAGGTTCCTTCGATTTTGATAACAGCGTGAAATAGATATGTTGATCTTTACTATAGCTTCAGTACCCATCCGTCCAAGAAAACATGCAACTAAGGGTTGCAACTACGGCTTTGACTAAATCTCTAATGTATACTATTCACATTTATGACTCAAAATTAATTTATTAATAAAATACATTATATAATTAATCTAATGATATTTATTTGATATCATAAATATTGATAATTTTTTATCTATAATTAATTAAACTTGAAATACTAAACCATGACACAGTGTTAGAATTGTATGTTTTTCTGGACGAAGGGAGTATTATTACTCGCATGGAACTCAGTGTTGTTTCAGGTACGAAGTACCTTCTTATGAGACGTTCAATATTAGGCTAATCTCAATGGAAGTTTTATGTAAGTTTCATTTGCATTAAATAGGTTGGCACATAGGCATTTTTGATGGCATGGCAGCATATTTTAAAAGAGAGAGAAGAAATAAGTTTCATTCAGATGAAACTCTCTGGACACGATTACCAACTCTCTATGAGTCATGAAATTAAATGCCAATGAAACCACAGAATGGAACTCTCCATTGAGAGTGGGTGTTTCATTCAAATTTTATTTCATTTCATATGACATGACAGTCTTAAAAACAACGCCATGAAACTCTTCACTGAGAATGGCTTTATTGATCACCATGCACGTTTGCCAAACTACGGACCCTCCGTTTCTAAATTATAAGCTCTTTTACATCTTTATAGACATATAGCAACAACTATATACCTAAACATATATCTAAATCTATTGTAAAAGCAATATTTATGGAAAAGGTAGAATGACCTATAATTTGAAATAGAGGGAGTAGTTGCTGAATAATGTAACTCGTCGTCTACGACACGTTGTAACTTTTTAGACGTGATTAATTTCACACCAAAAGAAAACATTTTTAAGGTATGTTTGTATTCCCTACGACTAGTTGTTAGTTAAAACTAAAAATTAGCTGGCTCAAATTTATTTAGCCAACTAAAGCTCAATTATAGGTCTTGCCTGGATCACCAAATTAATAGTTTTATTATAGACACCTATTAGTCATATTAGCTAGCTATGCCCACCTAATGATTAAAGTTAGTCCGTCTATTAGTCTGTACATGTTTGGATGCATTGTACCCTCCGTAGCCAAAATAATGCAATTACATATGCGTGCAGGTTGAACTAGTTTAACTGTAAAAAAATTAAGCTCGAATAAACTGGCCTCACCCATAGAGTCTAGACAAGGTTCAACAGTAGGGGGCATGGGTTAAGATCTGTTTGGATAGGCACGTATTCTTTTGATAAAAATAAAATTTGATTTTTGTTCTAATCAAATATAACTCTTTTCAGTGAACGAATTAATTTCCCATTCAAACTGTACACAAAAAGCTGTTAATTCTAATTTATGGAACTCGGTCGAAAGATACGGATGAGTCCTCACAGCTCTGGTCATATAGGAATAATAATATAACAATAAAAAAACTTGACGTTTTTTTATGCAGCATTAAAATTAACAGCGTTCGAAAAATGATCTAATATGCTAAAAAATATTTAAAGAAACACATGAAAGAAATATTTTCCAGACGCAGTCTAAAGAGAAACATTTCAAAATAAAATGTAAATTGAAAAAATGGAAGCCCGAGAAGGCTGAAATGGACGATGCAATACTCCCTCTGTCTTAAAATAAAAGTCATTCTCGCTACCCGAGAAGTTAATTTTTTTGAACTTTAACTAATTATATATAAATAAATATTAATTTTTATAATATATAATTAATATCATTAGATAGATCGTTAAATATTCTAAGAAAGTTTAACTTACACGTATCTCTTAGCGTCCTTCTTTTTTATGACGAGGGAGTAGAATGCAAAGGTAGGGGTGCAGATACAGCCGTGCAGTGGTAGAGAAAGATCTGTTGGTTCGAATCCATCCAAGAGATCCGACGAAATATAGCAACTCATGATGATATCAGATCTGACTGAGACTGTCTCGGAATATGCAGTGTGGTAAAGCTGTACTAATAAAACTATCTTTATTTTAATGTAATAATAAAGAAGTAAAGAACGAACGACGAATTGATAGCGCCCCCCTGTATGCCCTTTCCCCTCTCAATCCTAGCTAAGCCTAAGCTAGCTATAACTCCAAGTTTCAAAGAAGCTAGTAGCAGGAAACTTCAAACCAAAATACAAAAGAACACGACTCCACACCAGCTGAACCAACGAACATCACCCCGCTTTGTTTCTCCAAAAGTCAAGTCTTTTCTACGCTCTTCATGTGCCATAAATGAATTGCCACTCCAGTTCACTTGCTGCGCCTGCGCGTGCAGCGGATTAGTGCAAAGCTTTGCCCCACTCCACTCCACGCTTCTCGAAGCAACTCACGCCTGCCGATCGCCGCTGAGCTAGGAACGGAGCCAGCTAGTCGGCGTAGCCTAGGCGCTGCAGCTCGCCGGCGAGACTGATGTCTTCCTCGTTGTCGTCGTCGGCGTGTTCGGACGGCGCGTGGGTGGACGTGGTGGTCGACGACGCGCCGTCCGCGGACGACGAGGGCGCCGGCATCAGCTCCCGCCCAAGCAGCAGGTCCACGCTGGCCGCCCGGCTCTTGGGAGGCGACGACGTGCCGGACGCGGACGACGCCGCGGGCGAGCGGCCCACGATGGGCACCGGCTCCGTCAGCTCCTTGCCGTCGCGCGCCGGCGAGAACGCCACGGGCAAGTACTCGTCGCTGTCGCACGGGAACTTGGAGTTCTTGAAGTGCTCCTTCAGCGCTTCCAGGCCCTGCACCGCCCAAACGCCACAACGTGATTGAAACATTAACATGTGAGCAAGTACGTAGTAGTAAAATGTCATTGGTGGCGTAGTAGGAGAAGGGCAGCTGCAGTAGGTACTTGTACGCGAGCGTATGTGACTTGGCAGATCTTGCGCGAGTTGTGCACCTCCCATGGCTGCTTGTGGAACGCCTTATACAGCCGCACGGCGGCCTCCGGCGAGGTCAGGTTGACGAAGCCATAGCCCACATTGCACTTGTTGCTGCATTTTTATTTTATTTTATTTATTTCCATTTTTGCATAAAGAAGAAACCCCAAGCAAGCACGAAAAAAATTCTCATTTCATGCTAGAGCAAGAAATTCAGAATGGTATGGCACGGAGTAACAAACAACTAACGGAGGAACAAACCACTAAAGACTTGCTAGAATGGAGACATACTCCTAGCAACCAAAAAAAAACTTTGGCATGATGCTCCAGCTGCTTTACATGAATGTGAAGCTGCATGCCTTTTGACAGCCACTAATGTCCTCTCGTCGTTGGGCATTGATAGGTCTTTTCTCAACTTGCTTCGTGCAAGAGAAAAGCTGCTGGTATAGATAAAGCAAGGGCATAACTAAGCACACTTGAAAGAATATTTTGTTTGCATGTATAAACTTTGATCCAAAGCTCAATTTTCTCTATAAAAAAGAAAGTGTTGATCTTTTTCGTTTTCATACTGATGCAACTGTTCTTTTTTGTTCACAGCTCCATTCCATGGCTAGCGTAGTAGCGTCTGTCACTACACCCCCCATCGGACGGTGCCGCTCCCTTTGTATGTGTTGGCCTTGTTATGGAAGTGCACGGCTGTGCAAAGGAAGAAAGGCAGGCAGGGAGGTGATCCTAGGGGCGGCAGCAGCGGCGAGAAAGGAAGGCAGAAGGCCCCCTCGGCATCAGCAGCAGCACCCAGCACCCAGCACCCAGCACCCAGCAGATGCGCGCATGCAACCAAAGGATCCATGGGGGCATCAAAACGAGAAGGATCTGGCGTGGTCTCCCTTGGGCCGCTGCCAAATTTGGAGCTAGTAACGCCATAGCCATCTATGCCTGCTGCACTGTACTCTACCCACCCAAAGATAAGATACCTCGATCCAGAAGCTCACGCTTCCAGCTGAGGCGCTGCTGGAGCTGCAAGCTCCTCGCCTCCCAACCCCCGCCCACACTTCCCATTCCAACCATTTTCAAGGCACCAAATTCCCAGAAAAATAACCGAATTCAGGCTGCCAAGCGTGTGTTCTTGCATCGAGCACCATGAAATATAAGTTAATGCAAACAGCTAAATGCAATTGTACAAGTGGGAGGGGGAGCCGAGCGCAACTCACTTGAAATCTATGGGGAGGTAGACGAAATCGTAGGAGGAGAAGGGCTGCCCCACGCCACTCGCCGCGATCCACTCGTTGGATTGGATGCAGTGGTTGTCCAGCATGTTGAGGAGCAGCTTCTGGCTGCGACCCCAAACGCCTCGAGCGTCAGCAGAATCGCAATTCTGGGCGTGCGGCGCCCATGAAATATAGCATTATCTTGCTGCAACAATGTGGAGATTGGCAGGGATACCTGTACTTGTTGGGTATGTTCCTGATCATGACGGTGGTCCTCGTGTCCCTCTCCGAAGCCGGCGCCGACTGCGTGTCGGCGTCGCCGGCGGCCTCGGGCTCCTTGAACAGGAAGCGCGCCTCCCACCCGCTCTTTCGTCCTTTCCAGTTCCCGCCGCCACCGCCACCGCTGCTGCTCCCGGCGCCTTTCTGGGCTTGCTTCCCGGACACCGTCGGGGTCGACGAAGACGCCACCGCCGCCGACGCCACGTTCTTGTTGCCCTTGCTCTTGCGCTCATGGTTCGTGCCGGCATTGCCTCCCTTGGACTGATCGCTCGGCCTCCTCAGAAGCACCACTCCTTTCCTCGCCCTTACGGAGCCGGACGACGACGAGGAGGATGCCGGGGGCTGAGACGACGTCGGCTGGGCCGGTCGCCACGTCGCTTGTTGAAACCTCGGTGGAGTCGGCGCGGTGGGCCGGTGGTGGGGCGCGTACCCGCGCCTAGGACCGACAGGCACACGGCAAAAATTCAGCCGCCCACAGGGTGATGGGAAGGCAAGCTGACTGAACTGAAATTGCGGTGTTGTGTTGTTTACCTGCGGGGCCCGGGGCCGGAAGGGCGCGTGAACTCGATGATATGGCGGCGGCCGAAGAGCTCCTGGCCGTTGAGCTCGGCGAGCGCGCGCGCGGCGTCGCGCGTGTCGAAGAAGTCGATGAACTTGTGGCTGGGCCGGTGCGCCGACTCCCTCACATCCTTCAAGTCCCCTGCGAACACGAGGACGGGCCAATGCAATTGCTGCGGGAAACACAAGAAACAAGCGTGGGAAAACGAAATGCCTGGTTGGTCGGCTCGGTCGGTGGCGCGTACCGAAGGCCTGGAAGACTTGGCGGAGGTCAGCGACCGAGACGCCGGGCAGGGGGCTCAGGACCACCAGGGAGCCGCTGTTCTCGCCGTCGTCGGCGCCGGGGGCGAAGTGGGCCCACACGGCCTGCCCGAGGACGAGGCCGCGGCCGTCGTCGTTGGGGTGGGGGTGGGGGTGGGCCCAGTCCCAGGCCTGGGGCGTCGGTGGTGCAGGAGCCCACGCCGGGGGCACGGCGGCCGCCGCGTAGAGCTGCCCGAGCCGGCTCTGCTGGCGCATGTGCTGCTCGCGGACGCAGGCCACGGCGAGCTCGGCGGCGCGGATGTCGAAGAAATGGACGGTGGCCACGCCCTCGGACGCCACCGCGCACGCGTCGACCGAGCGGATCGCGCCGAACGGCGCCATCGCCTGCGTCACGTCGCGCTCCTTCGCGTGCGGCGGCACCAGGCACAGCACCACGACGCGGCTCGACGGGCCGTCGACCACCGGCGTCGTCGTGGGCAAGGTGTACCCCGGCTGCGGCGCCATGGCCATCGCCATCGGAGGCACTGGCTGCAACATGGCCATTTGCGGCGCCGGCGCCGGCGGCACCGGCATGGCTGGGTATGGGTGGGGGCAGTATAGCTGGTGCGGGAGCGGCTGTAGAGGGTAGGGGACACAGACAGTAGGGTGGAACTCCTGAGCTGCGGCATCGAGAAGGTTAGCCGGGGCTCCCGGGAACCCACCCATTCCACTCCCTCCCCCACCCTCCATGGCGAGCTAAAGCTCACAACAAAAGAAACCGAGGCGTCCAAGGGAGACGGGTCGTCTAAAGATCTAGAACTTTCTGGTGATTCTTGATCATGCCTTCGATCAAGAACCAGGGGACAATTGTACTTGGGGACCCCGTCTCTCTCTCCCCCGGCCCGTTCTCTCTCCTGCTTAGCTGTATACTAGGTGTGTGTGTGGAGTGAGAGCGGTGTGGTAGTACCACACCACTGCTGCCAGAAACGAGGGAGAGAGAGAGATTGGGAGCTCTTTCTATGGTAATTGTCGCGGGAAAAGAAAACCGGTGGGGTTTTATTTGGAGCTCTACAGGGACAAAGGGGAGAGAGACGAGTTGAGAGGAAGGAGGAGGGAGAGCGAGTGGAGAAGAGTCGAGGGAGGTGAAGGTGAAAGGCTGAAGGGAGAAGAGTCGAGGGAGGTGAAAGGCTGAAGGGCGGTACGGAGTGAGGAGGAGGGAGAGGACAGACGAGAGAGAGACGAGAGGCCGTGTGTGCTGGATTGTTTAGCTCGGATCCTCTGCAACGACAGCACTTGTTGCTCTTGCACGAGTCATGCCCCGTGCGTACATGACAGGCCCCACGTCTGCTTCTTTGCTGGGGAGATTTTTCCGGTGGATTTTGTGTGTTTGTTTTCGGAGTTAGCTTTAGCTTTTCGAGATTCCATGCATACGTTCCGGCTACAAATATTTGTTTGTTCCGGCTACAAATATATGTTACATTTTCATTATTTAGGGCATGTTGAAATATGGAAAAAAAATCTTGTTCCTACAATTTTCTTACGAAGTTTCTATAAAAATTCTTATAACAATAAAAAAGAGAATCGTATAAGCTCCGCTTTAAGCCCGTACAGATAGCGCGGGTAGCAGGTATTTGGATTTTATTAAGATATTTTTTATAAATAGTTTCATTTATTTATTTGACTATAATTGTTTTATCTCGATGTCCTTACCTTACCTATTGGCATGAACACGGACTCTGACTTAGAGCTATTGTCATGTTTCTTGTTTTTTTTTCCTATCTCGTGACTGGGCAATTTCAGCTAAGGCCAAAAGTAGCCTTTAATCCCGTCTTAGTAAGCTCTTTTAGCGTTAAAACCACTTTCCAAGTCTTTGTCCGTTTTTTTAATCAAAGTCTTTGTCTGGTACCCAATATTTTTTTTTCTAAAAACACGAAGTTTTACAACTCTTAATAAGTATTGGAAAGAATAAAGAAGGTCATCTCCAAGAGTTTATAATAATCCACTCATAAATTATAGAAGACAATTTTACATAAGAAATCCTATATTATTTCTAAATTATCCTAACAACTTTTATATATTCTTTCTCTCATGTATATTTATGTCAGAAACCTTTTCCTACTCTTTATTTTTTCCACGCCCTTCCACCTTTAGATTGGCCGACAAACACGTGCGGGAGAGAGAAGATACGCGCGACTCGAAAACGCTTACGCAGAACATGGTGACTTTTCCCAAGTTCTAAAAGATTAGGAGACTAGATTATGAGTTGTTGGAGAGGATTTTTTTTCATCTTGCTAAAAACTAAGGATTAAGAAGGGATTTATGAAACTCTTGGAGATGCTCTTAGATCTCTTATAGATTTAAATTCAAGATGGTCTTTTCTTCTATTATGGTCTATACGAGTAGTTTATTTTTCATATATTATCATTTGATTCATCATAATGCTTTTCATGTGTTGGAGCCATCTGCTAGGAGTCTGTTTAGCTCTACGTAATCATGAGTTACCATAGTAGACAACTCGTATAGTGAGTTGTCCATTTGGTTGCCGCGTGGTAACTCACAGTTTCTTATTTGTGCATAGACGTTATGAGTTGCATGGCAATCCTAACTCATGCAACGACTTATTTCTCTCAGCTCACTATTTTCCCTCAAAATGTATGCATGGCTTTGCATTAGACAACCTATAAAATACTTAACATGTAGCAATATATTTGGCCCTAGCTAAATCGCAATGGGAGAATCTAGAGATGTTCAAAACCAGTTTCTCACTATTTGCGGCCTTGACTAATTTTGGTGGCCATTAAACTGATGCTGGTCATAATCTTGTTCACATCATGTCGTTTGGCCATTCCAAGTGTTTAATATACTTGTTGGCATCATCCAATAGTAATAAGTTTTTAAATGGATTAAATAGTCCTTATTGTCGGATGCCCGATGCATATATTTGTCTGTCCAATTTTTGTTGTTCACTAGATAGTCTAAATATTTGTGTAAGAAATCAACACCGCAAAATAGGACTTAGCCTCAAGCACGGCTACATGTAAGAAAATGCATGCCTCCTAGTGCCTTGGACAACATCTAGACCATAATGAAACAAAAAGAACTAAAAAGATAAGCATACAAATCAATGTCATCATCAGTTGCAAAGACAAAGCCAAACACTAAGTCCAACATCATCGATCTCAATGGAGTGAAAAAGAACTACGTAGATAAGCAAACAAACCAGCATTTGCAAAGATCAAACGAAACCCTAACATCATCAGCATGATAGATTATGGGGAGTGGGGGTCGATTTCACCTCAGGGTTGTTGTCGAAGCAAAGCAGATGCACAACACAGAGAAGAAGATCTGGACGGAGAGAAAACAGATCTGGACGGAGAGAAAGCATATTTGGCTGGCACCAACACCATGAGTAGCACCGGAGGCCCAAAGCCGAAGAGGACGAAGGAAGAAGATGTTAGCCCACAGGATCACCGGCTCAGGTGAGTGAACCACTCACCAGTCTTGCCGAGCACCCGTTAGTGTTGCCGAGCACCCACTAGCTAAGCTGACCACGAACAGTACAAGATACCAGCGTTGGCCAAAGCCCTGTATAGAAGATGACAAATCTGAACTTTATTTACTGAGTTGCCGTGGTAGTCTATTTATACAACTATATCCATCTAGTCCCAGTATAGCTGCCCTGCTGCAATAGTGACTAGTTAACATACAGGGCTGACTCTGCGCCGGCCTCTGTATGTGACTAAAGTGCTACAGGTGAGCCGTGCGGCGCCTACACCTGCAGCGGCTAAGTATCACAACAGGGGGCCTTTTCGGCGCCGCCTTCCCTTGCTGTGTTCACACAAGGAAAGCAGTAGTTTGTTCTAACAATTCTTCCCCTGAACCTACTGCTATCCCTTGTACCCTCTCCATGTCGATCATCTCCTTCAGCTCCGTGAGTCGAAGACGTCCGAGCGGCTTGGTGAGGACGTCCGCGAGTAGCCGACCAGTTTCGACGAACTCAATGACGATCTGCCCTCCATCGACACAGTCCCTGAGGAAGTGGAACTTCACATCGATGTGTTTGCTCCGGTCGTACAGAACCGGATTCTTTATGAGGGCGATGGCGGGCTGGTTGTCCACCATCAATGCTGGTGGGTGAGCTTCCATGCCGGTGGGCTCGCCCAACAGTCGGCGTAGCCACACAACTTGGCATGCTGTTGTGGCCGCCGCTACGTACTCTGCCTCTCACGTAGACACCACCACCACCTTCTGTTTCAGCGACAGCCATGAAATTGGAGCCGACCCGAGGAAGACGAGCACGCCAGAGGTGCTCCGTCGTTCGTCAATGTCCCCCACCATGTCTGCATCGCTGAACACAGTGAGCTGCAGCTTACCCCACCGGTCTTGGAAAAGATGATCCCTTGATCCACCGTCCCCTTCACGTAGCGTAGTAGCCGCTTCATCGCAGCCTAGTGATCCTCTCTGGGATCCTCCATGAAGCGACTGACATAGCCCACGACAAACGCAATGTCCGGCTTGCAATCAGCCATGCCGCTCCACTCCAACAGCTTGGAGGCATACACGCTCTGACCGAGCATGAGTTCCTCCTTTCCTTGTCTCACTACGATGCCGAGGTAGTAGGAGAGTGCGCCGAGATCGCTCATTCAAAAATGAGCTGCCATCTCATGCTTTAAAGCTGTTGATGTCCTCCATGCGCGCGCCGGTGACGATCAAGTCGTCCACATACACGCCGACGACGAGCTCCTCCTTCCCCCGTCGCCGCATGTAGAGCGCGTGCTCAGTTGTGCACCGTTGAAACCCAAGCTCGCCCAACGTGGCATCAAGCTTGGCGTTCCATGCTCGTGGGGCCTGCCACGCCCGTAGAGCATCTTGCGTAGTCGAAGCACCCTATGCTCCTCTCCCTTGACGGCGAAACCTAGAGGTCTCCGCCAGCTCACCGTTGAGGAAGGCTGATTTAACATCCAAGTGATGTACGCGCCAGTCCTTTACTGCTGCCAAGGCTAGTAGCAAATGGACAGACTCCATGCGCGCTACTGACGCAAAGGCCTCCTCGAAGTCTATGCCCTCGCGCTGTACAAAGCCTCGGGCGACGAGGCGTGCCTTGTGCTTGACAATGGCGCTGAGCTCGTCCCGCTTGACCTTGTAGACCCACTTTAGGCTGATCAGACGACATCCTAGAGGTGGATCGACGAGCTGGCAAGTCTCGTTTTCCTCGATCGCCTTTATCTCCTCCATCATCGCCCGTCGCCAATTTCCATCGCGCTCGGCTAGCATGAACGTCGGTGGTTCCTCAGCACTAACGAGTAGCAGCTCTGCATCAATGAGCAGCCGACCAGCTAGGCCTGAGGGCCTATGCCGCCGATGATGTCATCTAGCCTGCGGAACCGCACCTCCTCACCTTCGTGGTAGGTGTCCATGAACTCAGTGATGTCACCGGGAGGTGAGGCAAACTCGATCGGCGTCGATGGAGTTTCCTGTTCCGCCGGAGTGCTCGGCACAGCACCTTGAGTGCTCGCCACTCAAGTTGTAGTGCTCGGCACTACTTCTTGATAGCTCGTTATTACTCCTGCAGTGTTCGGCCACACTGTAGGAGTGCTCAGCCTCAGTCTTGGAGTGGTCGGCACCACTGCAAGACATCTTGGCTCCGCCACGGGAGCGCTCGGCATCCGTCATGGAGTGGTCGCCATCACTACAGAACCTTCCGGCACCACTCCTGACGTGCTCAACATCCCTCCAGGAGTGCTCGGCAC